GGACTAGTGACTTACAGTTTTGAAGAACTGTTCCGGTGTTACTGTAGTTGAGTTACCGGATTCGTCGGTTGTTGCGGGAGGTGAATTTTCCTGTAAAAACTGCTCAAGGTTTCTGTCAGCTATTCTGAGTACAGGGTTGGCGAAGAAGTTTCCTGGGTCAAAAGGAGAAAAGCCACAGGATTACCTGTTAGGTTTTGGTGTTTATTTTAAACTAACCTGTACGGTTTTCACCACTTCATCCAGCGGCATCGAGCACATGAAATAACCCGGCTTACCCTGATAATTCTTATCATCGAAATAATAACTCTGACCATTGGGAGCATGTAGTGGCTGTGAGCCGGAATGAAGTATTGCCTGTAAAAACAAATTAAAATTCTAGAATAAAAGCCAACGTTTTGGATTTAAACAAATCGTGTTTGGGCTTTTAAAAAACAGTCAAAACGAATTTGTTGTTGCTTCAGTGAAAACACAGTTCGTTGCTTATACCTTTTTCTCTCCCTTGAAATACTAAGACTAAATTTAGCACCCTTTGTTGTAATATCCTGGACCTCTCTGTTACCATCAGCCTGAATCCAAAAACATTTTAGCTGAAAAGAGCAGGTGGGAATATCTTTCAATATCTTCATTATCTCTTAGGCAGCAGCGTAGATGTTCGATGTTACTATTTGATATTTAAATGTATTACTGCGTCAGAATCAATAGTTCGGGAAGCACAGAAATTCCTATACATATCAAACAGTAAAGCAGTGAACATTTGCATCAGCAAGCTTCCACAGACAGAGCTACACAAGCGTTCGCTGGACAGGATTGCAGAAGCATCCACTGGGCGGGGTTGTACAAAATACATGATTGTGCCAGCTACACTGGTGTGCGTCGTTACTTATTTTTTGGAAAAGACTGGGCTGTAACTCCCAAAAACATGTAGGCCATGGATTCGTCCGCATTGTACATAATGTTGCCACTGGAAGAAAATGAACTTTCCAGCAGTCCATTACGAATGCAGCCTTCTTTATATGTAATTTTGAGGAGAGAGTATGGGGTGAGGGGGTGGAGAAGAGGAGCGGAAGGAAGTCAAGATGAAGCCGCTTAGTTTCATACTCAGGGATTTTCTTCCAGACGATAATATGGTGCATCATTGTGTCATGGGAATGGCACGCTTGCAGTCAAAGGCTAATGGTCTTTGTATTACTAAGTGGCTAGGAGCTTGCTTTAATTGCAAGCCAGA